GCATCCACACACCCCGCCTCACCCCATGCCAGTGCGCGTACAAAGAAAGTGCCACTGACTGGGGCCACCAGCCTTCTCTTTCTGTGCTGCCATTTTCATTGGCACTCTGTTGACTACGTGGAATTCAACCTCAGTGGTCGCATTACTTTTTCCCTATCCTATCTTGTCTTTGTCTTTTTTTTTTTTTCCTTGAGAATTCAGAAGCAGCTCTCTTAGCAACCAGAAAAACGCACATTAACTACAGCCCCAGTGACAGATGCACTGGGCGGCAGCACCTTACCCCTGGGACAACTCCTGAGCCACAGAAAGACTCTTGTCCCGGAGCAGAAATAATTCCCAGGCCCATCTGCTGCTGTGGATCACACCAGCCTGATCTCCCTTCTTTCTGTCCGCTTTGTAGTTAGAACTTTCTCAACATGGCTTTTCTAAGGGACTGTCTTTTCTGGTTTCCCTGAGACGTCTGTGGGGTGTGAGTGCAAGAGACTCGTGGAGAGAGGCTGATGAGCTCATTTTACCAGATGCCTGGAATCAGGGACCCATCTTTGACTATCTTGCCATTTAATGATTTCCTGATCCCTCTTTAAAAAAAAAAAAAAAAAAAAAAGGAGTAGGCGGAGTCCTGTTTTTTGTCACGGTCATTACCATGATGGAAGGGGCAGAGAAGTAATGGGTACTTGTGTCTGATTCTTGCAAAGGGAAATATAGGTCGCGTTCAAGATTCCACCGCCTCATGCCTGCCTAATTACCATGGGTCTGGGGCGCAGCTCCTCTGCGCCTCACCACATCTGCTAACTGACAAATAGACTTGGCTTTTTCTTTAAAAAATTAAAAGAAAAAAAATAGAAAAGCACAGTGCATTATATTTAGCCACAGCGCACGAAGCACCCAGCGGCAGCCAGGTCTTTCTTGGATAACTGGGGCTCAGCTTGCACATGCCTCCCGGTGTTCCCGGCCGCCGGCTCAGTCGCTCCCTGCAAGTTCGCCCTGCGCCCTACTGCTTCCTCGATGCCCCGCTCCCAGAGCAGAGGAGCTCAGCTCACATGACGAACACCGCCAGAGGCAGCCGGCTTTGAGAGCAGCCCCAGCTACGCACAGTTGGTTCCCAGCTGACAGACAGACTATGGGGTGGGCTTTGTCACCAGCACGCTGGGTCTGGCATGCCCAGCGATGCTCGGGAGCGCACAGTGCCCAGACACCCGCCGCTCCCTGGATCCCAGCCGCTCCAGCACCGGGGGGCCGGGCTGTGCGCCTAGCCTTCCGCCCCTCCGAGAAGGTTATATAATGAGCGGACCGCTGCCAAAATCAGAGGGAAAATGAAGTCTTTGTTAAATGCCTTCACCAAGAAGGAAGGTAAGGAGAAAGCGATAGGGAACGTGGGGCACCGATGAGCAGCTTCTCACTGCTTCTGGGAGGAGAGAGGGACTCGGTTCCCCTAACTGTGCTGCTGTTAGTGGTTAGTCTTGCAAGGGAATTCATCACTTCTGGTTCATGATAAGGTTTGGCTTATTTGGTCTGGGAAATTAACACAGCTGAATGTGCCTTTTTATCTTACTGTGTTTTTAAGCCCCTTGCAAAATCTCATTCCCAAATGTCCTTCCACGGTGACTGTGATGGAGGGCGCTTTAGGAGCTAAGTCCTAGGAAAAATGAAGGAACTTTGACTCTAGTCTGTCGGTCACCTGGAGGACTGTTGAGCTCCTGCTCTGGAAGGTCGGGCACATGGCTGGCTGTGCTGGCTGGGTGGACGCTCACAAAGCACCTCTTGGTTCTCCTTGGCTGTCCCTGGGTTGCGGTTTCGTGGAGTGGTTGGAGAAAGTCAGTGTGGCAGACTTTTAAAAGTGCACACTCTCTTTGTCATACCTTGTATGGTTTTTATTATGGGGGGAAATGTATAAATAAGCTCATGTAAGACAGCTAAGAAAATATCCACCCACTTAGAGTTTGCAGATTGCCTGAAAGAAGGAAACAGTTGGGTGGATATTAATCATTTTCAGACAGGAAAAGAGTTATTTTTAACCCTTTTCACATACACACAAGATGCATCATTTCCATGGATGATTCCAGTCAGATAGTTTTGTCAGACAGGGAGATTTCCTGTTTATGAAATGAGAAGGTTTTTGGAGAGGTTACTTTAAAGAAATTAGAAAGGTACTCCCCAGCCTAAGCTCCTCATAAAATAAACACTGAAGAAATTTCACTGCTCTGAAAACTAATTTAATGTGAATCCCGGTGATCAAGCAAGGTGGTTTTCATTAAAATGCTCACCCTAATGTCACCTATGTGATTCCATTTGAGTAGCTTGCCTGGTCTTCGGGGTAAAATGTATGTGAAAATGTCCTGGCTATTTTATTCCTTAATCCTCCATGGGTGGCCTCCCCATGTGAGTTCTTTTCAGTCTCCAAGTCCTCATTCTTAAGACTCTTTTTTAGGAATTTCTATAAAGAGAGACTTCACTTAAATTCATTTTCTAACGTTATGCAGCAAAATTCACCTTCTGGGACTTCAATTTTTATAATCCATGAACAGTGTGAAATTTTCAGTCGGGTGTTACAGTGTGAGGTTAATTCTATATCTGTTCTGTTTTCTCATAGATTTTTCTTTCCTAATGAATTTATCTTAGCAGCTGGCATCATCCCCCCACCCCACCCCCCAAAAAAATCCTATCTCTTTTTTTTAAGGCATTAATGCCTTACCTATTACACGGGCCAAAAACAGAGGACTAAGTATTGTTGGGGACACCAGCTGGACACAGGCACCACCCAGGTATCCTGTGGTGATCCCCACGTGCTAAGTGAGAGTCCTTCCTCCCTGGCTGTGTTCCCCGAAGCCCAGGACCTCTAGGGCTGCTTTGTGCTCACTGTATCCACTTGAAATTTTGGCTATCCTGGTGGCAGAGTCCCTGATCTCAGGGAATGAGAAATGACCGGCCTCTTAGGCTGTGGGGTCACCAGCCCCCTGTGAGGTCTTTTAACCCCATCCCTGGGTCTGGCTGTTTCAAGGGCCCCTACAAGCTCCCGCTGCCAGCTGCATTGGTTGGAGCCTCAGTCCTTCCATAAGGGGTTTGGCCTTTGCCTGCTCAGATGGAGGGACACCAGTGTGGTTTCCTCTCGTGACCAGCAAAACGCATGCTCAATTGCCTGACCCTGGGATGGAGCTTTTTTAGGTGGGCCGCTGTTGGCCCTGGGCCCAGCCAGGTTAGCCTTTGGGCTCCAGGGAGGACACCGCTAGCCTTGCCTACTCCTGTTGTCCCTGGCTGGCCCAGCTAGTCAAGAGGACTCACTTGCCTGGAGACATGGGGTCTGAGATGAAGTCCTAGCTGCAGAGCTGGTCACCGGTGTGCTTGTCCTTCTGATGGAGGGATTCCTGGGGAGGGCAGGTCACATGAGATCCCTGCTGCCTAACTGGGGTCCTCCCCCAGGTGGCACAGAATCAGAATGCCACATCAGAGTATCCCCAGGACCCCTTCTGCCATTCTGTGTGGCTTCCCCAGCTTGGCCCCCAGCTGTTTCCTTGGGACTGCCCTCCATGCTGGAGAGGTAGCCGGGATAGGCTGGGTCACAGCCTTCCTAAGAGAGGACTACCAGCACCACTCCCATCCCTCTTGATCTCTTCTAGTACCACCCTGTCCCTGTGAGCTCTGCTAGCTCTGTTTACCACGATCTCTTCCAACAGCACCTGTCCCTCAGGTGACAGGTGCAGCCGTTCTTGGTATCTGATGAGCCTCACCATAGTCTCTGACCTGGGGTAGCCAAGGGCAGGAGATTGCCCAGGACTCTGTCCTGAGCTACTCGTGACATGTTTCTCTTTCGAGATGTTATGGTCCTGCCCAGGTCAACTCCCCGGGACCTGTGTCTTCTCCTGCATCACAGCTACTCATGTGGACTTGGGCAGTACCGACATAGAGCCAGAGGCATGAACATCCAGGAACTAGGGTTCACCTGGCATCTTTGGCTGGTCAGGAGCTGGTGGCATCTGCTGTCCCCTGCAACCTGGAGGGAAAGTTCTGAGAGGATCCATCACAGAGGAGCAGCCAGGCCACTTAGGGACATGACACATGGCTTCCAAGGGCATGTGTACTCTGAGTCCTGGGCACAGAGACTGGGGAGCAGGAGGGCCCAGCCCCACACAGAGCTTCCTGCAGAGCCAGCTGAGTTTGGCCACATGCACCATGGCAAGGGCTGGGCCCAGCTTGCTGAATGAGGAAGGGAGCATTCTCAGGGGCTGTGGATTCATTCTGACCAGGAAGCTTAGGGCTGTGTTCACTGCTAGGGCTGCTGTGACAAAGTAGTTTATAAAGGTCAGACGGTCACTGTCCCATGTGCTGGAGCTGAAGTCTGAGATCCAGGTATCACAGGCCTGGCTCCTGACTCTCTCCTTGGCTTGCAGACGGCATCTCCTCCCTGTGTCCTCACATGGTTGTCTGTGTGTGTGTGTGTGTGTGTGTGTCTGTGTCCCGAACTCCTCTTTTCACAAGGACACAGATGGTACTAGTGACCCATTTTAACCTAATTTCCTCTGCCAAGTCCTCTTTCCATATACAGTCATGTTCTGAGGTCCTGGGGTTAGACCTCAGCATGTGAACATCATAAGGCTGCATAATTCTGCCACCTCAAGGCCAAGTTTGGGGCTGGGGGAGGAGCTGTGCCACACTTGGGCATCTTGGTGTCCTAACTGCCTTGGGAGGCGGGGTCCATCCTTACACATGTAAAGCCCCAGCGCCTTCCAGGCTGTGGATGAAGCCAGCGGGATGGAAGCTCAAACCCAAGTGTCTTCCATCTGGGCTTTGGCTGGAGCTTCTGTGTAAAGATGATGACCAGCTCCCTCTCCACCATCTCTTTGTTGGAGTGATTCCAGACCTTGGGCAGTCTTGGGCAGATTCTGTGTGAACTCGTGGCTCCCAACCCTGAGCTCGCATGGGGGCTTGGATGCACGCAGGCTGGGTGCCCCGTGTGTCTGCCTCTGGATGTGCTCACCTACCTCTCCCTATTCTCTTCCACCCAGTGCCCTTCCGAGAGGCTCCAGCCTACTCCAACCGCAGGCGGCGGCCCCCAAACACGCTGGCCGCGCCCCGGGTCCTGCTGCGCTCCAACAGTGACAACAATCTCCACGCCGGTGCGCCTGAATGGGCTGTCTGCTCTGTGGCCACCTCCCACCGAAGCCTCTCGCCCCAGCTGCTGCAGCAGGTGCCCAGCAGACCCGATGGCGCTGTGAAGAGTATCCCAAGCTATGCCCCTGGGCCCCGCAGCCGTTCACCGTCTCTCAACAGGCTCGGTGGCACAGGCGAGGATGGCAAGAGGCCCCAGCCACATTGGCATGTGGGGTAAGGAGTGGAGGGGCTGGTGGGGGAGCTCAGCGCCCTGGGACTTCATTCCTCCAATTTGAGTTGCCCCGGGGAGACTCACACTTGGATTCTCCCATGCATTCTGGGCGTGGGGGCATCCTCCTGAGCTTTGTGCCCTTGATGGCAGGACCGATGGCCTGGGGAGTGGGGGAGGCGGAGTTGAGCTTCCTGAGATGCTACTGGTGTTGGGGCCTCATTGCCTCTCCTTGAGCTTGCTCTTGCGATCTTCCACACCAAGATGGGAGGAGACGAGGCAGCAAGTGTGGTCTGCTCCCTGTGTAGTCCCAGGGCTGCATTTGTCAGCCTTCCAATGTGCTGTGTGCCTCAAGTCCCTGCACGATGGTGGCAGTGGGAAACCCTGGCACAGCCGAGGTAACAGGCTCAGAGAAGCCACATTACAACATGAGGAACTAACTATGTCCCCATTAATGCCACCAAGCCTGAAGTGTGTTTGCTCAGCCTGGCAGGTATATGCAGAGTGCTTCTGTCAGCCTTGGAAGCACCTAGGCAGGATCGCCAGCACCGTCCACATTAGGCAAGCCAAGTGGCTGCCCAGAGTCTCTTGGCAGAACCCCGGGGGCATTCAGCTCCTGGTCTGTATTCTCCCCTGATTACTATCCTGCCTCCCCCAACAGTCAGGGCAGCTGAGTTTTCACTCAGAGCTCTGACTCCTAAGCCCACTCCCTGCCTTGGTGCAGTCTGCTTTCCAGAATTTCCCAAGCAAGAAACAGATTTTGAGGGAATCAGCTCATTTGGGCCACTTCAGGAGCCAGGACTAGCATTGTCCTGACCAATTCAAGCACCAGCAGGGATAGCTACCCAATACCTGCAGGCTGTCCCTCAAGCCAGGAGCCTCAGCTCTGCTTGCCAGGGGGGTCATGTGGCCCATGGCAGAGTCAGGCCCAGATCCCTAGTTCTAGGGTCTTGTATTATGGTTTGGGCCCATACACCTGGGTTTCCTGGAGGGCGTCATGCTTGTGATGAAGCTTGAAAACCCCCTCTGGTCTGGTACCCAGTGTCTGTGGCTCCTGCCTAAGTGCCTTCTTCCTGTGTTCCCAGACTCCAGAGCCACCCGGGATCCCCAGCCTGACTGCAGCAAATCTCACTGGCTGAGGTCATGCTCTGCTGCCAGCTATGAGCAGGGATGTGGGAGAAGACATTGCTACCCCCAGGTCACCACATGGCAGTGGTCCCACAGGCTTAGTGCGGGTTCGGGGAGGGTCAGAGCCTCATGTGCACTGGGAAGGAAGCTATGTCCAGACCATGACCCTGCAGGTTGGGCATCACAGGTAGCCGTGGCAGGTGAGGGGAGAACGTGCCTGTGAGAACACAGGTCTCCTGGCCCCTCTGCAGAGTCCGGGCCTCACCCACAGGGGTCTGGCAGATCCCCAAGCCTGCAGCAGTGCTCCAGCCCTTCAGCCTGTCCACACTTATGCCAGAGTCGAAGGACAAGCTCCAGTTCTACACTGGTCTAGATTCTGCCTTGAGCAACCCCAAGGGGGAAGTCCCAGGTGCTAAGAACAGTTGAAAGCTAAATTAAAGGGATCCCCTGAGACAGCTGATTCCACTTCACACCCTGGGCTGGAGTTATGACTATAATTTTATAGAGTGTCCCCCTCCTCCAGCACAAAGTGTAATAAGATACCGAGGGCAGAGTGGCCAGGGACTAGCACAGGCGGCAGGCAGAGTGTTGCTGTGGAGAGCGGAGGCAATGGGGGCATATTCCAGGGCCATTCGGGTCGCCCACTTCCTGTGCAGTTGCACACGTGTGCCAATTTGCTGGTGTGTGCACATGAGTGTGTATGCACATGTCATGCACATCTGTGTGTGTGAGATCCCTGCAGCCAGCCTGCCTCCTGGGCTCCCTGCCTGGACTTCCGCTACATCCTTCTGGTCTGCCGTGTAAGTGTGTGCACATAACTTACCCACCGTGTGCCTCTTCCTTGTTGATTATAAAATGAGGATCACACAGACAGGCTTCAGGTTGTTCCCAAAATGTAATGAAGGAATTCAGGGCAGCCGCCCCGCTTGTCCCCCATGCCAGTACGTGCCCAATCCACAGGGAAATCCATGTTGAGCCACAGCCCAGAGCTCGTCCAAGCTGGTCCCCTTTCCCCACCAGGACCAACAGAACCATAGGGTAGGGTGACGAAGTGTCCGTGCTTTTCCAGGACTTGGAACTTTGAGTGCTACAGTCAGGACAGTCAGTTCCCCTAACCACGGACCTGCCGCCTGTCCTGAGGTGGGGAGGGCACTGTGGCCCAGCTGTCACCTTGCCTTGCTGGACGGTGCCCTGACCTGTTAAACCTGCCTTCTCGAGCCTGTCCCATCATCTCCTCCTCAGAGCATGAATGTCCCCTATCTGACTGCCTAGGACATGGTCCCCCATCAGCGACGTGAGAGGTGACCCTGCATTGGCTCTGATGAGTGGGTGCATCCTTCTCCCAAGGTGCATTGTCCTAACCGGGATTTTTCAGAAGCTCTGGTGACCACTGTAATGTGGTGATGTATTGAGCACTTGACCACATGGTGGGCGGGTGGCATGGGGCATGAGAGGTAGGGTGCCCCTCTAGACATCTCCCTCAGTTTTCCCTAGGGGCGAGGGTGGAACTCCAAGTGCCGCTGTTGTAGTCTGCACTGTGTCCTAAATGGGGGTGCTTGCACTTGGTGAGGGACGTCTGTGCACAGCCAGAGTTCAAGGGGAGCAGGTGAACCTGCATTGAGTGTCCACAGTGGAGCATGATCTGAGGCCACAGAGGGCTCAGGGCAGCCAATTGTGCAGGCCAGCAGTGCACTGACCACTCAGGGTCTGAGTGTCCTGATGCCTGGAGCTGCACTGCCTCCCAGCTGCAGGACTGTGGTCCAGCTCTTCACATCTGTGCCCACGAGAGGAGATGGCTTTTAACTCAGGCAGGAAGATGACCATTTAAGGTGATGGGGGACCGAGGGCTTCACATCTCAGTCCAGGGCACTTTGGTGGCTCCAGGAGGAGGCTGAGCCCTTCTGCTCGTCTCCTTCCTTGTCCTTGAATCTTATAGCCAGACTTCATGAACCTGCCCTGATCTTTCCAAAAGGACATCTCTTTCCAGGGACAGACAGGCCAGGCTGGACACAGCCAGTGGGACAGTGAGGAGGGAGATGTGGGCCTCTCCCAAGCTTCTGGTGTCCCTGGGGCCCTAAGGCCCTTTGTGGTCCCTGTCAGAACCTGGAGGGGCAGGTCAGGACATTTCCCATGCACTGGGGGCCCTGTTTTTCATACACTGTGTGGCTTTGGGCAATTTCTTGATCACGCCCTGCCCCAGTGTTCCCATGCAGGTAGTGGGCCTCCTTGGCGGGCGGATCTACCTGGTAGGTAGGGGGATCTGTGGAATTCCCATACCTGTCATGTGCCAGGATCCAGATCTGGGTTCAGTAAGCTCTGTGGCAGCATCTTCTGATCCCGTAGTCATGACCGTTCAGGAAGAACCTTATGGTCTCAATAGTAATGGGGATGGAGGGTATCAAGTGTCTTCACCCAGGGTACAGATGCAAGCTTGGGCCAAGAGGTAGGACGATTGGACAGTTTGTGAGACAGCATTCTGAGTAGGGGGGACCTCCCCAGGACCTGTGGCTCTGTACCCCCTTGTCCCATGTGTGCTCACTGCCCAGGGCAGAGCTGGCCCCCCAGCAGCCTCCCTGGGCCTGAGCCACTGACCTGAGTGCCAACCTGAGACCCCAGAAACTTCAGCCAGGAACACAATGGGCACCTCCTTTGGCAGAACCAGCCTCAAGGCAGCCTTGATGGGAGGGAATAGGCAAGCAGTGACCTGCTCCCTCCCTGCACAGGCTCTCTCCTGCTGATAGGGCCCTCCTTCCCAGGGCAGCTGCCCCTCTGTAGAGTGCTGAGCCAGCCCATGTTGGGCGGCAGCAGTGTATGGAGCGTGACGGTCATCCTGGCAATGTTCTAACAGGAGGGGTCCCCAGGGGCCCTGGAGGCCAGGTCATATGGACAGTCTGTGCCTGCTGGAAGGTGACGGTCCACATGAGTATTGAGGCTCCCACTTCCCATGACTACCACCCAGGCCACCCAGGATGTCACAGTGGGGAAAGGGTTGAGACGGGATGAGAGAAAACACCCAGCACCTGTCCTTAGTACCGACTTTACCTATGGCCTCTCTTGCTCACCTTTGTCTTCCAACTTCCATCTCCCTCTCCCCTGTCTCTTTCTCCTCATTTGCTTGCTTTTCCTTGCCTCCAGGCCCAGGTCTGGAGCCTCCTAGGCACAGGACAGGTGGGCGCATTGTTCCTGCAGCACCTCCCCTGTTCCTGGCTCAGGTGTGAGACTTGCACACCTTACTGCGCTCGCGCCCTCTAGTGGCATTTTATAGCACAGCTGGGCCACCATTCTAAGAATATTCCTGACACCTGCATCCACCACCACCGTGTGAACTGGCTGTTCTCAGGTGGGACGTGCCACCCTCTCTGAGTGCGTCCATGTCTGGAGTGCCAGGTCTGGGTTAAGGCCCCCAGGTCCTGGTCCCGAGGAAGAGGACATCAGCTACACTGACCTCCTCCTCCAGCAGAGGCCAGGCTCCACTCAGCATCAGGAAAGGACATTCTCCCAAGAGGAGTCCCTTGCACTGGAAAGCAGGTTGCAAGGCAACCTCACAAGCTTCTGGGTGACACCCAGGACTTCAAACATCACGGGCCTCTCCTCTTCCCATCCAGGTAGAAACGGGTTCTGGGGAAACCACCTCAGCCTGTGCACCTTCTCACAGGGTTAGGGCCTCATCTGGCCACGTATGTGGTGTGAAGGTGGCTGCAGAGTTCCTCTGTGGCCCTAGCCCATGCCGCCCCATGTGTTCTCCTCCCTCTACTTCTCTGGGGACATGGGGATCTGAACACCTGAACTCGTTCCCTGTGGAGCAAGAACCTGGTTTCCTTGGCAAGGATGGTGGCTCTGTTCCCTCCCCCATACTTTAGCCTGACCCAGAAGTGAG